TAGAACAAGGAAGTCTTTTCCAGAAGGCTTCCCTTCGTCCCCCCATCCCATCTCAGTCCCCACAACTTGGCCACCTACCTGCCACTTTGTCAATCATTGGCAGAAAAGGACAGGACCTGTGTTGATTTTCTATCACTGTGTACCAAATTACCACACATAGAGCTGCATAGGGCAATACCCGTTTGCTGTCTTGCTCTCTCTATGGGTTGAGTCTGGGCACAGCCCAGCTGGCCCTCTGCTCAGGGTATCCCCAGGCTGCAACTCAGGTGTCATCTAGAGCTTAAGCTCACGTGGTTGTTGGCAGAGCTCAGTTTCTTGTGATTGTAGCATAAGGCCATCTTGGTGACATGGAACCGTATATAACATAGCCCAATCAAGGAAGTCCCATCTCATGACCCTTGCCATGTTCTATGGGTTAGAAACAAGGCACAGGTTTCACCCACACACAAGTCTTGGGTGCAGGTGGATGGGGGTAACCCTAGGGTGTAAATGACACAATACACGATTGGCTTGGACTGATCAAGATTGACTCTTGGAATCAGGGAGTGGGCCTTCTTCCTAGATCATGTTGCAGAGGAGGAGAATTTAACAAAATCTGGGTTCTTTTATCCAAGAGGAGGGAGGCACTGAACGCTCCGCAAGGGCATCAGTTATAGATTGCTGTGTGACTAAGAATCCCAAACCTCAGTGGCTTTGTACTATCACCGTTTTATTCACTCACAAGTTTGTGGGTTAGCAGTTTGAGCCAGGCTTGCTGGGTCATCCTGCTAGTCTGGCCTGGGGCCACTCATCCAGTGACTGTCGTCTGGCAGCTCACCTGGGGATGGGTGATCCAAGGTGGCACCTGTCATGTGTCTGGTCGCTGGTGCTGGTAGTTGCTGGGCATCTGTGCTGTGGGGTGTCTCATCCTCAAGGGAATTAGCCTAGGCATCACGTCCTGGTGGTCTCCAGGAGGGCATGGGTGGAAGCTGTAAGACCTTTTGAAGCTTTGCTTGAAAGTCCAGCTACATCAATTCTGGCATATCCTGTTTGTCAAAGCAAGTTACTAAACCAGTTAGATTCTGGGGAGGGGAAATAGATCCTCTGCCCCCATTTAACAGGGAGAGTCACAAAGTCACATTGCAGAGAGACACACATCCAGGGATGGGGGAATTATTGGGGCCACCTTCACAAACAGTCTGCCCTAGTATGCAGTTAACAGGGTCTGTGTCCACATGCATTCCTCCTCGCCCACAGATGCCTGTCCAGCCTATTGCTCTAGCTGTCACGTAGAAGCTGTTTAGCCCAGAAGAACATAATCCCAGAGCCTCGAGGAGGGACTCTGATGATTCAAGACAGAGATTTTCCTTTTCTTGTCCTGGTGCTTTCCCTTCTCTTTCCTTTTTTCCCACCACTCATCAAGAGTTTTATTATGTCAACAGCCAAGAGGTTTCTTTCTTCCAGCCCAGATCTGTCTTGTTTTATTTAAGTCTGTTTTTTGTTGTTGTTGTTCAGCCTCCCATGCAGAGAGAGAAAAAAAGTGTATTTTATCGCAACCTATTCCTAGAAACTCTATCATTCAGGATCTAGTTGTAAAATGGCCATACCTTCTACAAGAAATAATAAGCAGAGGAGCGGGTTTCAAACAAAGTCTCCACATCAGATAAATCAAAGAAATCACCAGCATCATAAAATCAATATCTCAAAGCTATAATCCTCTCAAATAATTTTAATAGAAATGTTGTTCTGCTATGAGATGGGGATAAATATGTTATATTTTTATTATGAAAAGAACACCAATTCACCATAAACTGTATGCATAATACATAAAAATATAATTCTATTCTGTCATAAATATTGCTATTTATATTGCTAGCCATAAAACGTACCCAATATTTAATTAAAAGTAATTTTGAGAATATGTGGACGTTCCTTTTAAATAGCAAAGCATTGTATATTAATCTTAGGCGTTGTTGCCTTATTGGAATTTTTGTGGGCTTTTGGGGAATAATAAGTGATAGCTAAGTATGTTCTAGGCTTTGCCCTAAAGTCTTTGTTTGTATTAACTCATTTAATCTTCTCAACACCCTAGGAAGCAGGTGCTATTATCATCTCTACTTTACAGTGGAGAAACTGAGGCACAGAGAGATTAAGAAATTCACCCATGTCACTTACAGAAGGGCAGGGCATGAATTTAAACCCAGGCCTCCTTGCCCAAGAACTCTGCTCTTAACTTACATACAAGCATCATTAATAATGAATGCTCCCCTCCTCTCCCTCAATACTCTTTAACAACCAAAATAATTCTAGTTTATTTCTAATTCTG